CCCCAAAACCCCAAAACCCCAAAACCCCAAAACCCCAAAACCCCTCATTTTATGTAAAAAATTAGGTAAATATTATAAATTTTATTTGTTTGTTCAAATAATGTCGAGAGCATTTAGTGAAAACAGAATGGCTAGAACCATCCACGACCCTTCTAAGTACTGGAATACCAAGATGACTAAGAGTTCTAACTACTTCAAGCAAACCCGTGTACAGACATGCTCACATGTGTTGTATAAAAATGGAAAGGCGATCGCTGTTGCATTTCCTTTGGATAAAGCAGCAAAGAAAGCTAGTAAATTGCCAGAGACAAAGTCTATAACACAGGCCACTTATGCCAGAAAGGGAAATTTGCATGCAGGAATGCCTGTAAAGCCACTGATGCCTTATCATCCAAATGCTCATAGATCAAGACTGCCGACTGCGACTGTTGTGATGCCATACAGGAATGCTTCCTCGATTGTTATTGGAGATAGAAGTTCAGACTACAGAAGGCAATTCACCTCTCATAATAGAATAACTTATCCAAAACATAGACTTGAAGATGCCACAACTAATGGAGGCATCCTTGCTACTAAGACTAAGTGGACTCATAGGAGAATGGGAGATTAAGGTAAAAGTGACAGTTGAGATTATCATTGTTACTCTTAATTTGTTCTAAGTTTGAACTTATACTGTTTCCAAAAGGCGAATATCAGTACTATAGAGGTACCCTTGATAATATTCACTCCAGGATAAAGGTTTTTACATTAAAACCAAGCTTCTTTTCCTCTTACTTCTATTCCTAAGCATCAAAACTCTTAGATTTACATTTTATGTAACCTCAAAGTAAAACTTCTTCCGAAATTTTCCAAAAAATTCAAGAAATATCCATCTCTCAATTTCCACCCTCTCTCATCCAAACCTTTCCTAACCCCCATATAAACCCCTTATCCCCCTCTTCACCCCCCAAATCTCCCCCAAAACCTCCACTTTCCCAATCCCTCACTCCTCACTCCCAAAATTCCCTTATAAACACCCATTTCCCCCTCTTCCCCCTCCCTCCACCCACTTCCTAGCCCACCCTCGCCCTGACTATCAGCCCATTATTCCTCTTCAGTCCCAAAGAAAAGGACTACGGCTACAGTGGCTTCCACACTTTCCATATTTGAGCCAAGAAAGTCATTCAATATTATTGAGTGCAACCGGGGTTTTGGGGTTTTGGGGTTTTGGGGTTTTGGGGTTTTGGGGTTTTGGGGTTTTGGGG